GTATTTATATTAAGATATATATATATATATATTATGTTGTCTACTTTAACCAAGCAATGGTCTTGGCTTCGTGGTTGAATATAGTTTAGTTTCCTAAGTGACCAAGATTTGAATTTTTTTTACCTCAATTTGTTTTCCTTTGCTTTCTTTCAACTAGATGATGACACATGTTACTCTTTGATTGGTGAAAATAAATATATTAAAATAAAATAAAATTAGTCATTTAATCGAATGATAACACATGACATGACATGTGACATCATTCGATTAGAGGATTAAATTTATTTTAATTTATTAAAAGTATGACTAAATTGAGAGAATATATAGATAATAAAACCAAATATGTGATTATATAAAAATATTTAATTGTTGTTAGCTAAAAGTAGACAAAACACAAACATAAGTAATCATCCGTGTAGTTAATCATATTAAATTTTTTAAATAAATACAAATTTGATATTAACATTTTAAAAATGAATAAACCCATATATATATATATATATATAATTTTATTTATTCAAATTTCATTTTATTTACACTCATAAATTTAAACATATAAATCAACAAATATAATTATTTAAATTCATAGTTTAAAAAGAATATTATTTTTTATCATTAAATTTGTTGAAGGGATCTAGGTCACCCCGTTCGTATGTTCCTTGCAGGCGTATTCAACTCAGGCTTCCATGCTGGTGTGTATAATCTATACTTGTATTAATACATTCAACGTTAACTAAAATATTTACCTATTTCGAAGTTGACTTGTACGAGGTAGTTGTCTTCTCACGCGCCAGACTTTACTCTCTTCCCACATTCTTACTAATTAATTTCAGTGATCATTTAGAAAAGGACATTATTCTTTTTAATGTCTTTCCCCGCCTGCTAATTATTACATTTTTTATTTGTCTTCTAACAACCACAAAATTAATATAAAAGTATATTACATTTCTCCGTTGTAATAAAAAATATTGATAAGGGATGGGTGGTGACAAGATGTAAATGAACTTGAATGTTTGATGAAGTTTTCATGAATCGTTCTTATAACGTCTATTTAGTAAATTAAATAAATAAGTAAGAATAGAATTTTTATATTATTTTAATAAACGAATGAACTTAAACAAAAATATTAAAGTTATGGTTCATTTTCTTCTCGATCGGCTCGTGAAATTACAATCAAAACAATGGTAAAAGTGTGAAGTCTATATAGCCGGCGAATCCCGCCATAGGTCTACACGATGGGGTACATAGCAATATAATTCGTTTGTAACTTTATTTCTTGTCGTTTTTATGTTGATCAAGAAATAAAATTCAGTTAGAGTAAGATTCTCCCTAAACAAGCTTCCTCTGTTTTTTATCCTTACAAAAATAAAATTAGGGAATATGGTTTTATGTTGCGTGTTGATGGAATAGTTGTAACAAATCTTGTACTCTCCCTCATGATGAATTTTCTTCTTCTTTGTCTGTGATTTTTTTTATTTTGGGTTTACAAATGAATCTTGGTGTCCTTTATTAATCTCTTAGATATATTTTGTTTGTCGTTAATTGTTCTAATAATCATAACAAAACAAAAGTATTGGCTATTATGATCAGCCGAAAACCGTCAAGATGGGGTGAATTAGCCTTTAAAAATCTTTGGTGTGGAAGCAATAAAAGATAATAATTGGACACAAGATTTATAGTGGTTCGACTTTTTCAACCAAAGTCTACATCCACTACCTTAGTTCCAAGTAAGAATTTAAAAAAAATTCACTAATATGTTCTTTCTTTTTCTAGGCTCAAGAGTAACCTTTACAATTCTATAGTTTTTCGAGGCTAAATTATAATCACCCCCTTTTACAAAGGATAAGAAAATGTAAACAAAAAACCTCAAAAGATAGGTGTTTATAAAGATTTAAGCTCACAATAATAAAAACAAAAGATATTCAATTAAGCTCTATATACTTATGTAAAAAAAATGAAGGAAATAGGAATAAAAACTCTTTTCTCTTGATCTCTAAGCTTGGATAGTTGTAGTAACCTTCTTCAAATGTCCTTAGAGTGTTTTTATTTTGTGGAATGAGTTGTTAGTCGTTTATGACCATTGGAGATGAGCTATAGCCGTTGGGAAGCTTTAAAAATATGCAATAAAGGCCACCTACACATGCAATTTCGAAACTTTGTGAAAGTATCGAAACTTTTAAACACATTGTTCTTGAAAGTTTCAAAACTCTTACTTAAAAATATGATCGTTGAAGAAAATCAGGCCATTAAAACAGTTTATGAGTGCAAAGTTTCAAAACTTTTGTAAAGTTTCGAAACTCTTAATAAAAATTTTCAAACTCTTACAAAGTTTCCAAACTATGAACAATACATGTGTACTAAGAGTGTCATGAACAATATCAAATAGTAACTGATAGTATTTTTCATATGTAAAAAGCTTTAAACACTTTAAACATGTTTTAATTAACTCAAAAACATTTCATATATATAAAACAATTAAGAACACATATTTTTCAAGTTATATTGGAATTTGAATTATTTTTGAAATATTTAATTAAGTCTAAAATCAATTTTACAAATATTTGTTATATCAAAATATAAGTTCAACAAAAAGTATGTTCAATTCATTTATGTCAATGAACAAACTCATTTATGGGCTAGTTTACTTGGTTATTTTTTTCTTTTATTTTTTTATATTTTAAAGATTGGTGAAGGTAAGAATTGAATTGAAGAAAATGTGAAGTTTGAAGTTTAAATTATAAAGTCTAAGGACTAGTGGTGTAAAATCACCTTTTGTCTTTGGCTTGTAACTAAAAGGCTTGATTATAAAACAAGTGCTCAAACTATATCACTTTTCACGAATAGGAGACTAAATTATTTTTTGAATGAATTTGGTGTCTAATGTTATAAATGTTACAACTTCAGGTGTTTAGGCCGTCAACAACATTAATTTTCTCTATTACGTGAAACATGTCACATTATGGTAATTTAAAAATTTATTTAAATTTTAAAAAATATATATTTAAAAACACATAAATTTTTGAGATAACTCCAAAAACGGAAATTTTTTGAAATAATTTTAAAACTTTGAAAACCTTCATTTCAACTCTTAAACCCACGCCGATTGTCGTCCTTTGCTGTGGACGAAGCTTCACACGACCTCACCTCCCCTATCGACCAAAGCCCTTATGAAATTATGACTGATCGACGACGAATCGACATTTTATACCTTGCAAAAACTAGGATGAAAATCTCGATACTACGCGATTCTAATGGTCAATCGACGACAACTCTGATGATGTATGGCTAGGAGGATGGTAGGGACTACGTCGACGATGGTGATCGTGGTCGAAAATGGCAACGACAACGAGTTAGGGTTAAAACTTAGGGATTTTGGGTTTTTTGTAACTTAAGAGAAATTAGGTTTTTTAATATAAAATATTTTTAATATCTTTTTAAAAATAAATTTCAAAATTATTAATCGTGACACGTGTCGCTTTACGGATGAAATTAACATTGTAGACGACCCACCTAAAATGATAACGTTTGTAATATTAGCACATGATCATTCATAAAATAGTTTAGGCTCTATTCGTGCAAAAAACACTATAGTTTAGGTACTTATTTTATATTTAAGCCTAAAAAAGGATAAAAATAGAATGTCGATTGGCGAGCAATAAATGAACATGTTTACAAATGCTAAACAAACACAAACACCTTTAAAAAATAAATAATCAAATACGACCCGAATATGAACACCTTTAAAATTAAAGAAATAAACATGAATATAATTTTATTCGTTAAAACTTGATTCATTTACATCCGTAGTGCAAGACCTTGGTCATACAGAAGAGTATTGATTTTATGAAAATTCGGTATTTCACTAAGTTAATCATTATAAGTTATTAATATTACTATTAATTGATTAATGACGAATGATATTATATTCTTATATTTATTATATTAATCTTAATTTTATAAAACGATTTTTAATATTTATATATATTACCAATTTCATCATATTTCTAAAAAATATTATTCTGAGAAAATATAAAAAATCATAATATATAAATATGAAAAATAAAGAAAGCAAATGATTGATGTAATGAAGAGGACTTATAAGACAATTTGCATATAATATTTTCTAAAATATTTTTTATGCTCCTAAGGTGTTATATTTATGTGCATGAATTAAGTTATATCACTGGTTAAATGAATGATTGTTATATCTAGAGATTTCAAATTCGTACATACAAAATTATAAAATATTTTAACGTTTATTATTAAATAATTGATAATCTTTAAAATAAATACTATTATTTATAAGCACTAGTGGGATGAGGCACTAAGTCCTTAAATAAGGTCAGGAGTTCGAATCCTGATGCTTGTGAATTGAGTAAACTGTGTTGGAAGGATCGCTCTCACCTCTACAGTACCTGATTTGGATTAGTCGGTCAATAAATCAGATATCAATGATTAATTAAAAAAAGTGTCATGTCATGTTTAAGCAAATAGTTGTCCGTTCACATTCAAAAATTAAGATTTAATAAGCATTGCAATACGTTATTACTATGATATAAGGGCTAATATGCATCATACAAAATCCAGATTTTAAGCTCTGACTAAGACCTACATTTTGTGCTGTCTCGACAATCAAACGTCGGCGAGGTAAGCGTGTTTTCCACGCGATTTCATAGACAATAGTGGCGGCGCTAGTAATTAATAATAAAATTATCTACGATGGAAGCTTTACTTTTATACATGTATTATAAAGGATTATAGAAATACAAAATAAAAAAGTTTCGTTGCAAAAGCATACGGTACATTCTTTTTTTAAAATAAAAAAATCAGTATAATAATGAAAATTTTATTTAAATCCTTAAAATTTTTAGAAATTTAGTTAAAAAAAATGTAGACTATCCTCTTAAACTACGTTGTCAAAACTGATAGCTAAAAGATGAGATTGTTGTGCCTATATAAAGAGCAGCCACACTAGTTCGCTTTACTCCCAGAATCAGAAAGCCGGCGTCTTTCCTTCAAAAGAAGAAAAGATCAGCGTCTCTTTTTCTTCAATCTGCCCTCGTTTGAGTTATCATTAAACTACTTATAGCTAAACTAACCCAACTCCATGAGAAGTGACTTTGAGTGTGTCTGGGTTTTTGCCCTTGCATCGAAATGCAGAGCTTTTTCTCAAGAAAACATTGCATGTTCAATTTTTATCATCGCCCTAGCCTGGCTGGTTATGGCCCTAATCTACTGGTCTCACCCCGGTGGTTCGGCTTGGGGCAAATATAGGCTCAAAAAGTGGGCCACTCTCTCTGTTTGCTACCGAGCAATACCAGGCCCTAGAGGGTTTCCTTTGATCGGGAGCATGGACCTTATGGCCAGCTCCCTAGCGCACCACAGAATTGCAGCCGCTGCCGAGACATGCAAGGCCAAGAGGCTCATGGCCTTTAGCCTCGGCGATACTCGCGTCATCGTCACGTGCAATCCTGATGTAGCGAGAGAGATTCTCAACAGCTCTGTGTTTGCTGATCGTCCAGTGAAAGAATCGGCTTATAGCTTGATGTTCAACAGAGCGATCGGGTTCGCTCCTTACGGAGTTTACTGGCGAACACTGAGAAGGATCGCAGCAACCCACTTATTTTGCCCTAAGCAAATCAAAGGTTCCGAGGAACAGAGGCGCTTGAGTGCCTCTGAATTAGTAACCTTATTTGCTAATCACCATAACCGAAGCTTCCACGTTCGGGACGTGCTAAAACGAGCCTCGCTAAACAACATGATGGTTTCGATATTCGGAAAGAAGTATAAACTAGATTGTGCCGATAGTGAAGTCGATGAACTTCGGGCTCTAGTTGATGAAGGGTATGATTTATTAGGGACATTGAACTGGTCCGATCATCTCCCTTGGCTAGCCGAATTCGACCCTCAAAATATCAGGGCTAGATGCTCAAACCTTGTACCTAAAGTTAACCTATTTGTTAGCCGAATCATATCCCAACACAGAGCTCAAACAAACGAGAAAGGTCGAGATTTCGTCGACGTGTTGCTTGCTCTCCAAGGAGCCGATAAATTATCGGACTCCGATATGATCGCCGTTTTATGGGTAAGTTATTATTTGTATTTTGACTGATTGAGTTAATGTCACCTTCATAATATTTGTGTTTGTGTAGGAAATGATATTTAGAGGAACTGATACAGTAGCGGTCCTCATCGAGTGGATATTAGCTAGGATCGTGCTTCACCCTGATGTTCGATCAACGGTCCATGATGAACTCGACAAGGTTGTTGGCAGATCGAGAGCCGTTGATGAGTCTGACGTAATGAACTTGATTTATCTTGCGGCTGTGATCAAGGAGGTTCTGAGGCTTCATCCACCGGGCCCGTTGTTATCATGGGCCCGTCTTTCTACCACCGATACAACCGTTGATGGGTATCACGTTCCGAAGGGGACCACGGCGGTGGTGAACATGTGGGCCATCGCGAGGGACCCTCAAGAGTGGGTGGATCCACTTGAATTTGTACCCGACAGATTTGTTGCTAAACAAGGTGAGGTGGAGTTTTCTGTACTCGGCTCGGATCTCAGGCTGGCTCCATTCGGGTCGGGTAGGAGAACATGCCCCGGAAAGAACTTGGGGTTGACCACCGTCACCTTTTGGGTGGCGACCCTTCTGCACGAGTTCGAATGGCGACCTTCCGATCAGAGTCCTATTGACTTGTCCGAGGTTTTGAAGCTGTCGTGTGAGATGGCTAATCCTTTGAGTGTTGAAGTTCGTCCTAGGCGTATGTCTCACTACTAGCACAACTAATTAGTCACGTGGAAAATGAGATATTAAGACACAAAAATGTTGTCCCTGTCTTTTATGTATTGTAAGTAGGAGTGATGAGAGAGAGCATGTAATTCAAAGTTCCCTAGTATTAATATTACTCTCTTCCCCTACGTTAAAACAAACTAATGATAGCATTTTTGGTAATTAACTGCTTAGATTTTATATTGCATGGACTAAAACTTGATGTATACATAGTTCCACAAGTAAAATTCAACAATATTAAACAACCCTTAGTTGATAAAGGTAAAGCTCTTAAGGTTTTAAGCACACAACTATTAATTTATTTGTTTGTGTATTATAATGATTAATTATGATTATATCTTGACACAATATACAAGAGGATTTAAGGGTTTTTTTTTAAAAAAAAGGAAAAGCCTAAAGCTAAGTTAGTTGATGGAAGCGATCCCTATGGAGAAGGGTGGTGATGGCAGGACGAGGGCTCTGCAAAGTAGCCGTGTCAAAATCTTGATTGGTGCAAAGTTTGGCCGTGGCGTCTGCGACACTGTTGCTGTCCCGGGAAATCCAAACGAAATCTGTGAACCAGCCACGCCTACGGAGGGTGGTGATCGCATGAACCAGGTGAGATGAAGGCATGGAGACCGCAAGGTTGTTGAGGAGGCGAACTGCCATGGTGCTATCGGATTGGACCTGCAAGATTTCCAAGCCTAAAGACCAGGCAAGCTGCATTCCAATGAAGATTCCTCAAAGCTCAGCTTGGAGGGGGTGGAAACGCCGATGAGTTTGTTGAAGCCGAGGAGCCAAGAGCCATCCGAGGAGCGAATGACACCGCCTATGGTGGCGTGACAAGTGACAGTGTTGACAGAGGCATCCGTATTGAGACACGACAAACAAGCCAGAATAGGGGGCCAAGACACAGGCCGCTAGGGGGACGCAGCAGCTCTAGGAGTGTTAATAGGGTTGGAGGCAAAGTGAGATGCCCAGCCTCGACTGATTGCAATGACATCCTCCATGGAGGAGCTCGAGTCATTAAAAACAAAGCTATTCCTGCACTTCCAAACCTGCCAAAGCAAAGAACAAAAGAGAAGAGACCAAGGAACCTGCAAATTTGCAATAATATGACTGGACGAGATGTTACTATGGAGCCAGACTTTTAAGTTTTGGGTGAAGAAAGTGTGGTGATGAGAAGGGGGACACTGGAAAGCCAAATGGAGCGAACAGCTATGCAGTCTCGGAGGGTATGAAGGGGGGGCTTTGGACGTACTACCACAGACAGGGCAAGAAGCAGAAGGCGAGAGACGATGACGAAAACGCTCTTGGTTGGTCATGAGGCGGTTGTGGGAGAGGAGCCAAAGCAAAACACGAACCCAAATGATTTTCCAAATGGCATTGGAAGGATTCCAGGACAGGGTCGTATATGCTCAAAAAAACACTCTCAACTATTTCACATTAAAATCTCACATTCTTTGCATTATTGGTTTACAAATACGAGAACTCAAAAAATAACAACAATTCATTTACTACCGATATCACTTGATTCATGCTAAATTATTCTCTATTCTCTGATTTATAAATAATTGATTATTTGATTAGTATATATATTATATCAAATTATTAAAAACATTATTTAATGACATATATTAATACAGAGACAGAGTCAGGATACAACTCAAGGGGACAAATTATAATTACCCATGAAAAATGAGGGAGAAAACTATAATTAATCATAGAATTGAGGGAGGCAAAATTAAACTAAACTTAGAAGGTCTAATGTAATATTTACCCATTTATATTCTAAATTATAAAAAAATAGAGGGCAATAACCCAGAACAAAGCTTAGCTTCGTCCCTGTACTAATAATAATATATTACTACTGACAGCTGTATAGATATATGTTAATATCTATTATATCTGAAAATTCTAACATTGAAAATATTTCAAGAAATTATTATTATTTTTATAAATTAGTCATAAAGAAAAGTAAAGTAAATGTTATTGCAAATAATAAAATTTGAAGTGCAAGGGGTAGGTAGAGGCGTCACCATCTTAATTCTTAATTCCTCCAAACACTTCAAAGTTTCTGAAGTATAAGAGACTTGTTTAAGCGTGTGTAAATTACTAATAGACGGGGTTTTTTAATTCTGGGGTAAGTTATTTAATTCTGGGGTAAGTTATGCATTTAGTATTTGAATTATCAGTTTTTATACGTTTTAGTACTTAAATTTTCAATTTTTTTTCAGAATCATAACTAAAGTTTAGTTTTTATTTCATTTTAGTAACTCGTCGTTAAAAACTTAACCCGTTTAGTACATAAACTATCATTAAATTTGGTCCGTTTTTAGTCCCTAAACTTCGGATTTTTTCAAAAACTTAACTTTAAATTTTGAATGGTACTAAAATAAACAAAAATTAAACTTTAGATACTATTTTAAAAAATAAAAGTTTAGGTACTAAAACAAATCAAAACTAATAAATTAGGGGCTCATTGCATAATTTATACTTAATTCTATTAGTGGGGCGGATGTCAAATCAGAGCACGTTAATTACATTGATAATGCTGACCTTAATTACAATTAAAAAAAACACGATTAAAATGACAAGTGTGCAAATGACAAATTGTCCAATTAAAAACATGATTAAAATATGTTGATGGCAACAGGGCTATTAGATTTGGCATTAATTAGTGCCCCAAAAAACAAAGGAATTGGTTCTTTTCATCTTTGGTGTATTGCCATTACAAAATTTTCCTAAAACTTGGGTACATAACATTTAAATATGGCACGCAGTTTCTGCCTGCATCACATCATCCTACTCAGCAAATTATATTCCTAATCAGAGCAAATGCGTGTTCAAATTGATTTCAAGTTCTAGTTTAATTCAGTATTTAGTCCGCCATATTTACTAGAGCTTATATTTTTAATTAGTAATAGTTAATCAAGATAGATTAAATCATGACAACCAATCATTTTTTATAATCATTCGTATACACAAACTAACTATCGGATAATTTTGAATATAAGCCGATGGTATTATTAGAAAGTAAAAATATTTAAAGTTACAATAAGAGTTTATAATTTATCATCGTAACTTAAATACATAGTTTGGACTTTTCTATAACATTCAAACTAATAACTTTATATTTTATAAGTGAATTAAGCTATTGAGAGATCACCGAGATTCACAAAAGGGAATTAAGCTATCGAAAGACCACCAATAATCGTAAATCAGAGTCGAGCGTTGTGAGAAACTATCCACGAAAGAAAAATCACGCATCTAAATTCAATCCGAATGTCCATAACAGGGAAGATCAACAAGATTTCAAATATGCACCATCTTGATCAATCGTGGCGTCGTCAAATCTAACCCTTAGAAAATATAAGTAAAAGAACAATCAAGCGTCCAAGAAAAAAACAAAAAAATACCACAAAAGAATAGATAAAAGTGTCACTAAGGTAGAGATAAACGTGCCAGAAAAAATAATAATATTTTTATTAATAAGAAAAAAAAATCGAAAGTCAATAACCGACATCAAAATTGATACCGTCGACCGCTAAAAAAGTAAAAGAATAAAAAATTAATATGATTTATAAAAAATACACAAACTTAAAGATAAAAAAAGGACGAGAGCTAGGTTTTGTACTAACTACTATATATGAAATTTTAAAAACTAAAAAAATAATAAATATAATATTATTACTAATAATAAAAAAACACCGTCAACATAAAAATAAATATAATAATAGCATATTGTTAAAACGGAGTTAATTAATTAATAATAATTTCTTCCTACATTCATTTTGAAATTTATACTTACTTGGCTGATATGTTAAAAGGTTGACCTGATAATTAGATTTCTTTATTTTAAAGAGTGTCGAAGGTGAGTTTTGGATCATCTACAGTAATTAACCCCCTTTTTTTCTTTCCTTTAAGTCAAATTTTCGGAAGGGGCTAAATATATAATTAATGAGTAAATTACGTATTTAATACTTAAAGTATTAATTTTGATATATTTTAGGTATTAAAATGGACTAAAATTTTATAATTCAGGTACTAAACGCATTGACCATGAGGTACTAAAATAAAATAAAAACTAAGTGTTAGATATGCTTTTAAAAAAAATTGAAAGCATAAGTACTAACACGGACCAAAACTAATAGTTTAAGTATTAAATTTATAGTTTGCCCCTATATAATTAAAGATAATGTCACCTATCAACCCAATGGATCCGGCTAACAACAAAGGAGGCAGGGATGAATTAATAATTCATCCCATAGATTAAATAAGATCAGTCTTAAACTAATCGAACCATTAACTAATAAGGTAAGCAGAAAAAGAGACCAATCAAAATCCGACAACATATTTGATTATTTAGTTCTTCTGCAATTAACTAAAAACGCCATTACAACAGATCAGTTTATGCTTACGAGGTTTTTCTAAGCGGCAATTGTTGAAAGATTTTGTCATAAAATACCCCCCCCCCGTTTTGTAATTAGATTTGTTATCCACAAAAGAACATAAGTGGAATTGGATCACAAAAGGCCTATTGGGCCAATAGGTGGGTATCGAGCAACATCAACATTGGAAGCACAATGAGCGGCCGAGCCGAGCACAGTTTCAACCAGGGGTGTTCAAATAATCGAATTAATTCGGTTAATCGATCGAATTGAATTAGTTCGGTTAATTCGGTTCAGTTAACGATTAAAAAAAATTTTAAAATTCAGTTAACGATTAATTCGGTTCGAATTCGGTTAATTAACCGAAATTAAAATTTAAATATTCAATATATTATATATAATATATAGGCTAAGCCCAAACCATTTAAAACCCAATTAATAATTTAAGATCAAATAACTTTTAAACCTAAATCAATATTAATTAATTAAAAAAATATATAAAATTTTTATTTTATAATTATATATTATTTAAATTAATTGTAAACTGTTTTTTTTAATTAAAAAATATTAAATATATTATATATAACATATGGGCTAAGCCCAAACCATTTAAAACCCAATTAATAATTTAAGATCCAATAACTTTTAAACCTAAATCAATATTAATTAATAAAAAATTTTATCTGAAATTTTTATTTTATAATTATATATTATTTAAATTAATTATAAACTTTTTTTGAATTAAAAA